GTTTTTTATTGGTATATACCTAGGTATTTTTTTAAATAAAACATATAGTAATTATTTCAAGTTGAAGTTTTATTATTTTGTTCGGATTTTTAAAAATTTGTCCGGAATATTCATTAGAAATGTCAGGAAATTGTATTTTGTAATATGGTAATCCTTAAAATATACATGTTTGTAAGTGTTAAATAGACAGATAAAAAGTGTTGATTTTTATTTACAACTATAACAAGAACCTATTAAAAAAAATTAAGAGCAATAGAACATATTTCAAAAAATTTTTATAGGTACATATATTTTTGATACTTGTAATCAATAAACAATATATTTTTTGGATTAGCAACAGGTTTTTTATTACACAACTATTACTTTGTTACAAAGATTTATAATTAACATAATAGTTGATATAAGTCCTTTAAAAATAATACATTTTGATGTAATTGTTGAATTTATACATGAGCAATTTTCCTTGTAACGTTGTTTACATTGTGCAGAGAACTATTGTGTTCTGCTTTTAGCTGATAAATCATGTACATATAAATGGGTTAAATGTAGACAATGTTATTGCTGCTAGACTGGGGATTAGGACATCAAAAAAAAAAAAAAAAAACAAGGACGCACAAAGCACTACATCAGTTTTTATCACTTACAATTTGCAACCATTCAAGTAACTAGCATGTTGGAAATACTTTACGAAAACATATTAAACATAAATCAGTCGAATGCAATGTATTTTCTTTTTATAACACGCCTTTTTAGCTTGATTACTTCAAGTACTCTATTTATTCCAATGTTCTCAAATAAAACGATCAATAATACGCAACAATAAGGATAAAATAAATTACAGTAATTTACTCGTAATTTACAAACTAAATTACCGATTTTTGTGGTAAAAAATTTACATTATTTACCGTTATTTACCATTATATACGGCATTTTCTTGTAATTTACCATATTTCGCGAAAGCGACGCCAAACTTCGGTGAAAATAAGCATTTGAGAACTGCTCTTCATTAAAACTTCCCTCAAGGCATCAGTTATCAAATACATTACTAAACAGTGAATATGATTGTGTAAAAAGTCCGTAAACGAAAAAATTAATACTGCTAAGACTGTAGGGATTCAAAATGATTAAGTGTAAGGGTTAAAGAAAAGGTCCTTTATTTCTCACAAGTCAATTTAATTGGCGACCGGTTTCGAAGCTGTCACTTCATCATCAGGCTTTCCTTTATGGAAATAGTCAAGGTGTGCCTGATGATGAAGTGACAGCTTCGAAACCGGTCGCCAATTAAATTGACTTGTGAGAAATAAAGGACCTTTTCTTTAACCCTTACACTTAATCCCTACTCCTCACATATGGCTATATACCCTCACTCCAAAAAAAATTCAAAATGATGGTTGGCCTTCGGGTATTTCAAGATTTTTTAATTGAGGAACTGTTTGTTCTTAGTTTTTTATTGGTATATACCTAGGTATTTTTTTAAATAAAACATATAGTAATTATTTCAAGTTGAAGTTTTATTATTTTGTTCGGATTTTTAAAAATTTGTCCGGAATATTCATTAGGAATGTCAGGAAATTGTATTTTGTAATATGGTAATCCTATTCTTACCACACCTGAGCCTGTGTTATATAAAATAGTAGATACGAAAGCAGCTCGTCATGAAGCAACTTTCATGTGCAACATTATATCCGAATTAATTGATGAAATAGGCTTAGAAAAAAAAAGTCAATTACAACAGACAATGAAAAAAACATGACAGCTAGCTGGAATTTACTTGCAGGAAAGTATTGTCATTTATAGATCTAAAGACTTTGTATGGACCAGTCTAAAAAATAGAAAACTGTCAGCAGTGACTTGTCGGAAATCGATTTGTTCAACAACAAAGTTACGCAAAGTAGCTGTAGAAGTATTAAACTGCCCATCGTCAACTGCTGCCACAGAACAAAGCTTATTAACCTATGGAAATGTCAATACAAATAAAATTAATCGACTAACAAATGAAAGGGCACAAAAAAATGTTTATATGAGACAACATTTAAATATAGCGGAATGTTCATCCGGTTCATAACAATCTTCTTTGGAGTCTGAATTTGAATATGAATCCGACTGCAAAGTAGATAGCGAAGCTGAACTAGATAAAATAGTTGATTTAGAGATCTCATTTAGTCCAGCTGATTGTGAAATGCCAACGTAACATATGGATAATATAATTAATAAAACATAATCTTATACAGGGTGTTATTGAAATACACGTACATATTAAAACTGGGTATTGCGCAGATCCCCACTGAATGTAGAAAAATATTATTTTTTAAAAATACCCCTTATTAAGGGAGTTATTAATTTTTGAAAATTAATTCTAAAACAAACGTACTTCACTGATATGTTGAGGATGACCTATATAAATTAGGTTTATTTACCTATTTTAAACATCAACAGTAATTAATATGCAAGTTTTTGTCAGATGATAAGAAAACTAGTCTTGTAAGAAATAACCATGTTGCCAAGATTTTCGAATTAATTTCTATTTCCGAAGACTGGTTTTTACTACCCTCGTTATCAAAAAACTAGAATATTTGATAAATGATTGTTTTTAAACTATACATTTTTGAAACTATAGATTATTAAAATTTTAGTTGATTTACGAATCTGGCTAACACGAGCGCGTCATTTCCAAGTTGGTAAAAAGTGTTGTTACGATTACTTTTAAATATTTTTTTACGATGCCACTATTTACGAATATTGAACTAACGGATATAGTGCTGGTTTATGGGGCAGCTGGAGAAAATTCTCGGCAAGCACAAATCCTGTATCGCGAACGGTTTCCAAATTGGAGAATTCCGGACTGTCGTACGTTTATTTCAACTGTTCAGCATCTAAGAGACCATGGAAAATTTGAAAATTTGAGAGTGTTAATGCAGATCGAGGGAGAACAAGAACACAAAGAACATTGGCGGCCGAAGAAGAAATATTGGAAGCTGTTGAAAACCGGCCTCAATTAAGTTGTAGAAGACTAGGTCTTGAAATTGGAGTGTCCTCATTTGTTGTGTGGCGGACACTTAAAGAACAAGGTTTACATCCTTATCACATCCAAAAAGTCCAGGCCTTATATCCAGGTGATGAAGAAAAGAGAGTGGAGTTTTGTGAATGGATGATTCAAAAATGTGTTAATATTCCTAATTTTCTAAAAATATTATTGTATACTGACGAGGCTTCATTCACTCGTGATGGCGTGTTCAATATGCACAATACGCATATTTGGAGTGATGAAAATCCTCACGCCATTAGGGAAACTGGGCATCAAAGAAAATTTTCAATAAATGTTTGGGCTGGCATAATAGATCAGTATTTAATCGGGCCTTATGTTCTCCCGAACAGATTAAATGGGCCAGGATATCTCCACTTTTTAGAAGATATTTTGCCAGTACTCCTAGAAGAGATACCGTTACAATTAAGGCAACGGATGTGGTACCTACTAGATGGCGCTCCTCCTCACTTTGATTTAAACGTACGGCAGTTTTTGAACATTAGATTTCCTCAAAAGTGGATAGGCAGAAATGGACCTACTAAGTGGCCTCCGAGATCTCCGGACTTAAATCCATGCGATTTCTTTTTGTGGGGTCACATGAAACAACTGGTTTATAATGAACCTATTAATAGTTTTGAACAATTAACCAATAAAGTTAATGCGGTAGCCGAGGAACTACGACAAAATCCAAGACTAATTTCTAATGTTCAAAGTTCTTTGGAAAGACGATTGCAAGTGTGTGTAAATAATAATGGACGGCATTTTGAACAATTACTGTAATAAACTTTATTTTGAATTAATTGGTTTTGCTACGGCAACAGTGCAATTTCTATGGGTAAGTTCAATTTCGATTTATTTTACTTCTTTAAATATGGAAACTAGTAGGTCGGAAAAGGGGACTCTTCCCCAATATTTAAATTTTAGAATTTGAAGTTAAAATTGGTGCCAATCGTTTTTGGTCATTACATACTATTCCCCATTTTAATATGTATGTGTATTTCAATAACACCCTGTATAGTTCTTATAAAATTTAAATAAATGTTCTTACACAAAGTACGAGGAACTTAAGTAATTTTTAGATTAAGAACGTGCACAAACAATAATATTTCATTTGATGTTTTGTTTTCTTTCGCGTTTTGTATTACTTAAACCTAAATTTAAATTATATTTAGTAACAAATAATTAGTTTTATTCACAAACAAATAAAACAATTCTATGTTCGACACAGACACACACCTAAATTTCATTTCGAAATAAATTAAGAAATAAAGCAATAATACCTCTATTTTGTTACTCTAACCTTGTGTGTTATATATTTCCCTTGACAAACTAACGTTCTATTTTGAACTAAAAGTAATTAAACTTTTCACCAAAAATATTTCACATATATAAAAAAAAATTAAAACGGTTCTGTCTTTCTTACATTTGCGAAGACTGCCCTGATACCTAATCTATTTTCTTTTCCAAAGTAATTAAATTGTTCAACCGTTGTTTATAAAGGTATATCACATCTCGTAAGTCCGTGTAAAGAAAACTTTTCATGTCCTGAAAACGTCAAGTGTCAACTAAAATTTCTACTTTTAAAGAACAAACGTGCCGCCTCAGAGTGCCAATACTGCTTGATAGATATATTGGGATAAAAGTCATACATAATAAAAATAACAGTAGGTAGAAAATTTTTGTTTGTAGTGATTAACTATTATGTTGTGTATAACAAAAAAATGAGACGGGCGCATTGTATATAACTGCAGTCTCATTATTACTTATTAAAAGTCTAAAATAAATATCTTTTTTTTATTTCGGGAGGGGATCAATCCCCTTGATCCGCCCCCACGGCTACGGCCTTGGTGGTAGAGAGTTGCAACTCAAAAGGAAAATCTGAACGTACTCGAAATCGATTCTGCAAGACACTTTCTTTAATCGATTCGTTGTTGGTTTAAATTTAAATGTCATTTGTCAGTTTTTGACATTTGATGTTAATTTATAATTTTGTTTCCATAGAAACGAATAGGTCTTTAATCACAACAAATAATTTGTGCTAAACAAAAAGATTAAAAAATAGTATTTTCTCCAATACAAAACATACTTACCATATTGCTGGAAGCTAACAGTATTATCTAGTTTATAAAAACAAATTTGTCAACAAATTATTTGCAAAAGAGACCGAAATATCCAAACATCCGAGTATCTACTCACCGAAAACATACCTGACCAAGAAATAATCAATAATGCCACTGTTCTGTAATGGATTTAATTTATTCCGGCAGCTAAATGTAAACAAACCAATTTTAGAAGAATTCGTCAAAGTATTCGAATTTGAGGTTATAAAACAGGTATGGATCAATTATTCTTATATCCTCATATCTACAGATACAGATTATTTAATATTCCATAAAGAGGGAGTTTGTAATTTAACTTCATTAATTCCAAAACAAACTGTGCTAATTACTACGAATGATGATCAAGTGATTTGTTTAAATCGTTCTGGGAAGTTATTTAAAATCTGTTTGGCAGATAATTTCAGTAATATACAAGAGTTATGTAGTTTAGACTACGTAGAATCATCAAATAATTCATTTTTAAACATTAGAAGTAGTTCGAAACTAATCGTTACTCATTTAGCTGATGGGACTGTTTATAATGTTCTAGAGAAACTTAAATTTACTTGTAATAGTGTAATAGACATTCAGTGTGGTAAAGAACATTGTTTATTATTGGACGAGACTGGTAATTTATATTCCTTTGGCAAAGGAAGGTAAGTTTAACAAACAAAATAAAGTATTTAAGATAAAAGTACCAGTAATCGATATTAAGGGCATGTGTTCAGATTTGTACATAATTTATTGCTAGGAGAGAAGTCTAATATGTATCTGGCAATACTGTAAAAATCCTTGAAGATTACAGTTTTAGTTAAGAGGTTTTCCAAAGAAATTTATTGAAGTATCTACATTATAATCCAGGTTGTTGCTTTTTAAATAGTTATATGTGAATAAACTTTAGTGTAAAGTTTATTTGCTTCCTAAAATACATGTTTTTCGTTGAACTTTCATTGCTTACTTGAATAATTACCTAAATTTTAGGGGTTGTCGATAACTGAGTATGCATCAGTGTTTTGACACATTTTGTGGATTATTGGGGTAATATGGGGCTCAAGTTTTTGACTTCTTAAAGTTGTTTTTGTAATGTTTGTAACTGGGGAGATGATAAGTAGTAAAACTATCGATAAATGGGGCAGTGGATCTATCCAAAATTAAATTAAATCGCCATTGGATGTTCTACTAATGTCGTTTACTGGTGCTTTTACCTTATTTGGAAAGTATGTTCTTAATTTTGATATGTAAAAAGTTTAATAATGTTACTAAAGGTAAAGAATTTCGCCCTATTAATGTTTTACTTCCTATTGAAAAACTTTTTGAAAATTATTGAAATATGTTACTAATAATGCAATTTTGATTAATAATCAATCTGGCTTTGGTAGGGTTTTCTTGCGAATCTGCATTGCAGGTTACGTTGTGTCACTTCGAAAATAATTTCAGATACAACAAATACATTGTTGGTGTGTTTTTTGACTTACAAAGAGCCTTTACTATGTAAAGGATCGCAATGTACTCTTAAAGTGTATTCAAATGTTGTTAACAATGTGCACGTCGCAATCTTTTATATAGTGTGTCCCAAAAAATGTATACACATGAAAAAAAGTTTCATAATCCTACTCAATTCATAATCTATTATCAAATATCATGTGTAGGTATAAAACTTTTTGGAACACACTGTGTAACGGATTGCGACGTGCTCGAAAAGCGCGTCGTTAACAACAAAGTATATTCAGATATTGTTAACGACGTGCTCGAAGAGTATATAGTGTTCCCAAAAAAATGTATTCACATGAGTTAAGTTTTGTTTAAAAGAAAAAATAATTATTCTTGATAAAATATTCTAAATCACTTGTAAATCCAAAATCAAATTGTTTTTCTCATGTGTATAAAATTTTTTGAAACACACTGTGCTCTTTGAGTACGTTGCAATCTATTGTACAGAGTGTCCTAAAAAAATTTCACACAGCTTAATTAATTACATTAATCACTTGAAAATCCTTAATGAAACATCAGATTTTTCTCATGTGTATAACACTTTTTGTAACGGATTGCGACGTATTCTGTTGGAAGGTATGAAAGGTCCTTATATTAAACACACAGTGAATATCCTTTATAGTTCATTTATTAAAAGAGAGCCGTAATTATAATGATGCTTATTAGTCGAGTGCTATTATATAACTAATCTTTACTGGATGTTATTGGTTTCATTCGGTCTTAAAAATACACATATATTGTTGACAGTAATATGAAGAATATTATTTTTGTATAAAGACCAACATGTTCAAATAGTATGTCGTTAATGTAATGTGTTGTATTTTATGCGAATTATTTTGATGATAAAATGGATGAAACAAATCACCGTTTTCTTAAAATCAAAACTTAAACTTTATTCATTATTGCCAACCCCCCAAAACTTCAGTTACTACATCCAACCAGGGTCGCCAAGCGGTTTTTACCGATTCACTCTTAAAAACGTTTCTGGGTTACTTACAATTATTCACAACTTCAAAATATTAATATTACTATTTTTTTTTAATAATTTGTGTATTATTTACTCATGCACTTATTCTGTTTGATTTTATTTTACTACTGTGCAATCTTGCCCACAACAGTCAAAACAGACGCATATTTGTTCTAAGCATTTACCATTTTATTAACCAAGTAATCTTTTTAACCAGCCTGACAAAAAACTGATAAAAAAGATTTAGAGAATTAATAATAATAATAATACTCTCCCTAATTCACCCCCTTACGAGTAAATTTCAACCCCTGAAGTCGACTGAACGACTTATGTAGGGGAAGGGACGGCTATTATTATTATTTGCCGTGGCGCTCCGGGGCGACTTAAGGATGATTGATGGTGCCATTTGACTTACAGGTGAGGAAAACCCGGAAAACCTCACCCACCATCATCGAGACGATAATGGATGGCGATTTTATAATCTGCATGTCATATCAATAGAAATTGAATTTCTATTAATACGGCACACATCAAATCCTAAACCGAACCATGCAATTTAATTAAAAATCCACATGGTCTGGTCTGGGATTTGAAGCCCAGCAGTCTCGGACTCATAAACTTGCCTATAAATGAATATAAGCGCGTTAGACCGCTACACCATCGACCCGATATATTAGATTAGATTATATTCTTTAATAAGGGGCAAAAACATAATAAATCATTAATTCTAATAACCGAAAAAAAATCTACTGTTAAAAAAATATAGGTACTTTCAAAATGAACAAAAAAAATATTTTCTTAATCATAATCGATAATAATCAACGATTGGGACAGTCCCAATGGGACTATGACTATCGACACGACTCCTAGTGTTATTGTAAGTTGCAATATGCATTATCAAAATCACATTTATTCTTTTATATTGGCCAAGCAATTGAGGCATCTGCAATTTTAAAACTACAAAATTGTAATGACTGCTAGAAGTGCTAGAAGGCGTAAAATTAGGTTTATATTAAGATTTTTATAAATACAACGGTTTTAATAAATTATCCAATCAGAATTTTGCATAACTACCAAGAATATACCTTCGCTGACTTTCCGATTACTCATAATTGCCTTTACTCACAAAATTATTCACATAGTAATAAATTACCCACATATGTGAGGAATTACCATGGATTGGCAACTCTGCATCCAATAAAAGCATCTAATGTAAGCAACCCATAATATATTATGTTTATAAAGTATTATGGTTTACATATCTCCTTACTGTTAACAACAAAGTGTATTCAGATATTGTTAACGACATTATATAGTGTGCCCCAAAAAATATACTCATGAGTTAATTTTTGTTTAAAATAAAAAACAATTGGTCTTGATAAAATATTGTTACCCTGGTTTTTGGTATCTCAATTTATTGCAACTCAACTTTAACAATAATTATACAACTGATACATTAACATATAACGTCTATCATAAAACTGAAAACTGACACACACACACCTTACTTGAGCCCAAGTCGGGTAGGTTCCCATCCTGTTTTACTGGATCGAAACCCATTGTTCGTCAGGGGTAGTATATTCACGTTTCACGTTTCTTCTCTTAACCTTCTTAGGATAATTGTCTCCACAATCTTACTCATAGCTGGGAACAAGCTAATGGGCCTGTAATTTTGCGGAAATTTGGGTCCTTGTTTGGTTTCCGTATCATAATCACCTCTGCTTCTTTCCACAGTCTAGGGAAGTACCGTTAATGATGGCTGTGAGGTAGACTGTGTCTTTCAGCGGGAGGTGCTTAATCGCTCGGATGAAGATTTTGTCCCTGCCGGGGTTTTTTTTACAGATAGGTGCTTTATGATGCCTCTCACCTCGTTCGAAGATGAAGGCTCAAGGTATCCTATGTCGGGTTCGTTTTCGTAGTCATCTTTCACTTCTTCCGTGAAGTCAAAGTCTTCGTCCTCGTGTACTTTGTTTAAACATTGGGACTCCAGGGAAGTGGCGAATGCATCGGCTTTTTCCTCTGCGGTATTTGCCAATCCGTTTGATCCATGCAAGATGAGTACTGGTTTTTTGTCGTCTCTTAGTATTTTCTGTAGTTTCCATATTCCAGGCTTTTGGGGGTCGAGCTCTTCAAGAAAATCTTCCTAGCTTCTGTCAGCGTGCTGTTTCGGTTCCTCGCTAATGCGACGTCCTAAAACATTAGCTCAGCGTCTGTCCGCTGGGTCTCTTGTGCGAAATGCTATTTTCCTTGCTCTCTTCCTAGCTGAGATTAGGTCTTTCAGGTCTTGACTGATGTTATTGAATTTTTAGGACTTGGCTACTGTCACTGTGGTCGTACTGGAGGCAAGTGACTGCTGGATGACTTGCTCTAGGGTTTCAAGAGCCTGGTCGACGTCTACTGGGACCTCGATTCTGGGAATGTTTCCCAGGTTTCCTCCCTCTATCCTTTTAAATTGTTTCCAATTTGTTTTCGACATTTCTTTCGGAGCGTCCGCCCTTTCTCCCGCTCTGAGGTCAAGGAAGAGTGGGTTTGTGTGCTCAGACTCCTTCGTGCAGAGTGAATATTTCGAGGGGAAATGTGCAGTCTCTGATGACTGCAATGTCTATTACATCTGGCATTCCTCTTCCAAGGCAGTGGGTGGGTTCTAGAGGTCCGATCACCGCACATGATCATTGACTTGCTTGACCCTTCTGGAACTATCGTTTAGATTGTTCTTGACAGATAATGCATTTTCAGACATTTCTGGATTATCGTATCTTCTTTTACTGGTACTTTTATTTATGAAAACCGCAGTACATTGTAGGGCGATGAGTAACATTGCATTTCTTTTTGTAATAGATTGCGTTAATAACAAAGTGTATTTAGATATTGTTGTTAATAACGTGCTCAAAGAGCATGTTACAATCTATTATACAGTGCGTCTAAAAAAATTTGTACGCATCAGAAAAAGTTTTGTTGGGAATCCATAATCAAACATTAAATTTTGTAAAATATAGGAAAATAAAAATAATAGAATAAAATACTTTTAAATTTTAACATAGAGCAAAATATTAATTAATAGTTATTTTCCTAACAAGTGCGAAAAGTGTTACTTTCCCGCACGCTACTGCAGTTGCGGGAAAGACACTTTACGCATGAGTTAGTAACATTATTTTTTCTACGACCGTATATACAAAAACGTAGGAAAAATTATTTTTG